CAAAACTGCTGTTCCCTCAGGCCAAGCCCTTGGGGAAACACTGGGTGTGAGGAGGAGGAGGGGGGGGGAAGAGGAAGGGGCCAGAGGCAGGAGGCCGGGGGGGGGGAGTGAGTGAGCAGGAGCTTGCCCTGCTCTGCAGGTTCTGGGTGCGAACTACGCCAGGTGTTCCTCTGGGATGAAGGATCTCTTCCTGGCAGGAAGCAGCAGCCGGGGTCGGTGGATGGGAGGGGGCCATAGTGCCACAGGGAAGACCAGAGGAGGGGCTCCTTCTGCCTGACCCTTCATCCTCCGCTTTCCCCCAGATTGTGAGCCCCCCCTGAAGAAGGAGGCCTCGCTCCCTGAAGGGCCCGTCCTGGAGGCCCTGCTCTGTGCCGAGGCGGGAGACAAGAAGCCGGAGCTGAAGGAGGAAGAGCTGATCTTAGACTGCCCGGTGAGGGAGGGAGGGAGGGAGGGAGGGGGAGGGCAGGGTGCCCCCAGGCCCTCCGGATGAGGGGAGAATCTGGGCCGTCTCCTCCCACCCCGTCCCATCCTCCCGCTCTGAGTGTCTGCAGGCCCTTCAGCTGAGCCTCCTCCTCCCTTTCCTCACAGAAGGCTCCTCTGGGCGAATTCCTGCACGATTTGGACCCGGAGGACCTTGAGGAGGACGTCCCCCGGAGGAAGAACAAGGCCAAGAGCAAGGTGGGGCCGGCCTCTGAAGGGCAGCCGGGGGTGGCGAGGGGGGCAAGAAACATACGCTGGGCATAAGGAGCTCGAGCCTTCCCCTCCACCCCCCAGGGCTCCATTTGCCTCTCTAGCACCTTTTCTACACCTTAGAAAATAGGACCTTCACCGATGGGAAAGCTGGAGAGAAAAGATCCCTTTCAGGCAGGGTCAAAAGGGGGGCCCTCGTCCCCCAGCTGCTTGCTCGGCTCACTGGCGGAACCTCCAGCAACAGAGGCAGTCTAGCTCCAGGCCTTCCGATCAGGAGGTGGTGGGCTTCCTCAGGGCACCTCACCGGCTGCTTGGGGAGGGGCTGCTTCAGTCCAAGGCCTCCCACCACAGCTGCCTTTGGGGCTCCTGGAGCCTGGGGGCCTCCTTGGTTGTCAGCCTGGGCAAGGGGGAGGGCCCCCATCAGAGGGGCTCCTGGCCAGCAATCGCCTCCTCACAGGGGGTGCACCTCAGATGGTGGCCCACCCCCCAGGCAAAGACCCAGAGTGGGGAGGAGGGGGCAAGGAAGAATGGGGGTCTGCTTGGGGGGTGGGGATCCAGAGCCCCTTTGTCTGGCACAGCCACCCCCCTCCCCCGGGGAGCAGCCAGGGGGTTTCTGGCATGGGGCCTGCAGTTCCAGGGCTGTTCCTCGGTTGTGAGGAGGGCTCAGTGGGAAAGAGAGGGTGGGGCCCCCACCAGAGTTTCTCCCAGTCACCCAGGAAACCCAAAGCAAAAGGCCAGAAATAAAAGGAGGGGGAGAATTGATTCCAGTCGCGTCCTCTCGTGGGGTGTCGGGAGCTGGCAGCAGAGTGGCCAAAAGGGGCCTCTGGCCAAAAAACAGGGAAGGTTGGGGGGAGAGGCCCTTGTGCAGGGAGGGTCTCCCGTGAGCCTCCCCACCAGTGCTCATGAGGACTAGAAGGTTGCCTTCCTTTAAGAGTCCTGGGAGTCTCTCACTCTCCTTCTTCCCCACGCAGGCCTATGGGATCGGAGGGCTGCGGAAGAGGCCAGAGGCGGCCCTGATGGAGGACCGGGACAAGCCCTACGTGTGTGACAGTGAGTGGGCTTCCCTCTGGGAGGGTTCGGGGGGGGGGTCCTGGGCCAAGGCTGGGGGGGGCGTTGTTTGGGGCCTGTCCCACCGGGCTGACTCCTGCCACGAGCCCCCATGTCCACCCAGGGTCCCCGATGAGAGGCAGGAGGGGGAGGGAGGGGGACAGGGCGGCCAGGAGCAGGACCCTGCAGGGGCCCCTTGGCAGCCGCCCAAAGCCCCCCAGGGGAGAGGAGAAGCCGGGGGGGGGGACACCTTGGGTGCCGTCTGGGCCTCAGAGATTTTCTGGGCTTTTCAGTCTGCGGGAAACGCTACAAGAATCGCCCTGGACTCAGCTACCACTACACACACACCCACTTGGCGGAAGAGGAAGGGGAGGAGGGCCCCGAGCGCCACACCCTGCCCTTCCACCGCAAGAACAACCACAAACGTGAGTGTGTCCCTGCCCCCCCCACCGCCCTTTGTGCCAGGGATGCGCCCTGCATGCAGCCCCTCCAGCGGGTGAGCCAGCCTGGGCCCAGGATGCAGCCCCCCAAGTGCGCTTTCAAGGGTCCCCCCCCCCCGAGGGACAAAAGCACAGCTCTTGGGGAAGGGGCTGCCTTCCACGGGGAAGCTCTCAGCTCCAGGTCCCGCCAGGGTTCCCAGCCGCCCGGGAAGCCCCTGGCCCAAGACCCCTCCCTGCCGCCCTCCCCTCCTTGCCTTGAAGGGGGCGGAGGTCCCAGGCTCCTTTGCTAGGACTGTGGGGAAACGCCCTAGAGGCCACCCCCCCCCACCGAGGAAAGCGTCCCCCACCCCAGTGGAGCTGCAATGGCTGGAGGTTTGGGGCTGGGGGGGGGGCTCCCCAAAGTTGGCACATTCCAGACTGACAGGCAGCCTCCTCATCCTCCCTGCTCATCCTCCACTGAGGGAGGGAGGGAGGGAGGGAGCCGCTCCAAGAATCTCCCACCCTGATGCAGTTGCCATGGAAACACGGTGGGCGAACTTGGCAGGTGGAAGATTTCCAGCTTGGGCTCATCCAAGAATGGGGAGACGGGTCTGGGGGAGACAGGCTGGCTGGGGAATGGGAGCGGGAAAGGCAAGTGGGTGGGGGGAGCATTCATGCTTGCACACATATGCAGGTGGAGACCTCTGAGCTGGGCCTTCTCAGTGTGTCTGTGTGTCTGTCTGTGTGTTTGTGTGTGTGTGTGTTTCGGGGAAGGGAGGGGCCGGAAGAGGAAGGGCTCTTCCTCTGAGAAGGCTGCAGAAATGGGACCCCCCTTCCTTTTGGGGGGGGGCGTGGAAAGCCTCTGCAAGCGGGGGCGCCGGATGAAGCCTTCTCCGGATCCCTTCCCCAGACCTGAGGGGAGGGGGAGGGGGAGGGAAGAGGCCGCCCCTCCCTAACAAAGACATCCCCTCCCCTGTCTTGGTGGTTGCCATGGAGATCCCAGCGCCGTCGCTGGAGCACAAAGCAGTCGGGAGGGTGGGGGGAGGGGAGCCGCCGTCCCTGGAGAAAAGGGGCCGGGGGCCTGCTGGGTGCCCCCCCCCCCGCCTCGCCCGAGACCCGCCTTCCTCTCTGCCGGCGCCGGTCGCGGGGTCGCTCGCTCGCACCGCCCGAAAGCTCCCTCCCGTCTCCCCGCGCCCCCGTTCCCCCCCAAAGCAGCTGGGCCGCCGCCCCTTCGGGAGACCCGCTTTCTTGCTGGCTCACCTGCTCGTCCCGACAGGCCGGAGGTGCGGAGGCGGCCAGCGCCCCTCCCAGGCCTGGTTCCCCGATTCAGATCCAGCCTGTTCCTTCCTTCTCCTCCCTGCGCTCACGTCCCCCTTTCCCCTCTCTCCTTCTGGCCATCTTGCCGGGCTTTCTCTAGAGTTTTGCAAAGAGCTGAACTGGGTCCCAGAGAACCAGCGCAGGCACGCAGGTAAATCCCAGGGCAGCGCTGAGGGGTTGGAGGCTGGGAACGTGGGGTCTGCCTGGGACCCCCGTGCGGCCTCCCCCCTGCCCCCCCCAGGGGCCTCTCCAGAGTCGAGGGGGGTGAGAGGAAGCGCCCCCCCACCTGTTTGTCCTGCGGCCAAAGTCTCCCTCTGGGATCAGCCTCCCAACCCAAAGCAGGGGAGGGGAGGGCAGAGCGCGGAAGGGCAGGCGGCTTCCATGAGGCAGCTTAGCCACTGCCAGATTTTGCTGTGTGCCCACCTAGCAGAGCAGGCTGCCCGAGGAGTGCCTGGGTGGCAGGTTCTGGCAGAAACTGGGCGCTGCGGGTGGGGGGTCTCTGCAGTGCACAGCCAGGTGCTTGCTAGGCACCCAGGCGAGGCGGGGGGGGGGGCAGGCGGAGGAGGCCGGAGCGAGGGACTTCCAGCCCCGGGAGAGCCGTTTGGGAGTGAGCGAGCGCGAGCGAGCGTGTGGCCGGCTGGATGTGTCAACCCCCTCGGTGGGTGGGGGGTGAAGACAGAGGGGCGTGTGGGTCCACCCCTGATTTCGACCTCTCCTTGCTGTTTTGCAGCTAAGAAAGCTCCGGATGGGACAGTCATACCAAATGGTTATTGTGATTTCTGTCTAGGCGGCTCCAAGAAGACTGGCTGCCCGGAGGACTTAATCTCCTGTGCTGATTGTGGACGCTCAGGTGAGCCGGCTCAGCCTCTGGCCAAATGGCGGCACCTGCGGGCATGATGCAGCTACGGAGTTTGGGGTCTCCTGGGGACCCATGGGCCCAAAACTTCGCTCCCCCTTTTTTGAGGGAGGGAGTAAGACGGCAGTTGGGAATTTGGTGGCTACACACAGCACTTTTATTGGGCACGTGATAGGATCTATTGTCTGAATCTTCCTTGCCACCTGTCAATAACCAAGTGAAGCCGGTTGTGTGGATGCTCAACCAGCAGAGTCCTTGTGGCCCAGTGACGGGACCCGTCTCATCCCTGGACCACACAGGTGCCTTCAGGTCCCCTGACGGCGGGTGTAGGGAAAGCCGCAGGGCTTGTGAGTTGTAGGAGAGCTTTGGGTTGTGGGTGTGCGAGGCCAGGGCTCCCCGTCCGCTCCGCCCCGGGTCCCCCTCCAAAGCCCTTGTGGCTTCCCCTGCTGGACGGCCGGCCCTTGGAGGCCATTCCGGATGGGAGCCCAGCCTCGCAGGTCGAGCTCAGGGGCTGCTGGTTCTTCCCCCCCACCAGGGCACCCGTCGTGCCTGCAGTTCACGGTGAACATGACGGCCGCTGTGCGGACCTACCGCTGGCAATGCATCGAGTGCAAAAGCTGCAGCCTCTGTGGCACTTCAGAAAACGACGTATGTGAGCAGCTGCTGGAGGGACCGTGTGGCTTCTCAGGTCTCCCCGCAGGGTTGCCTGGAGCTGCCCGCCGTGGCCTGCAGAAAGCGTGGCGCTTTTCTAGGCCGTGGCAGGCGCATTCATGGCGGCCATGGAGGGGGGGGAGGGTTGCTTCCCCTGCCCCTTGGAATGGGGTCCCGGATGCGCCTCTCAGTGGCGGCCCCTTCCTCCCCCCCAGGACCAGCTGCTCTTCTGCGATGACTGCGACCGCGGCTACCACATGTACTGCCTGAGCCCACCGATGGCCGAACCCCCTGAAGGTAAGGGAGCCCCAGCTGGACGGGACAGGGAGGGGCTCCCTCTGCGGAGAAGGCCAGGCTGTGACCCCCGGCTGCTTTGGCTTGCAGGGAGCTGGAGCTGCCATCTGTGCCTGCGGCAGCTGAAGGAAAAAGCCTCAGCCTACATCACCCTGACCTAGGCTGCAGCCTCAACCCCCCCCCCACCAGCCTCAACCCCCCCCCCTCCGGGGACGCTCGAATTGTACTGCAGGCCATGCGCGGGAGCTGTGCAGGGCCTCCAGCCGGGACTAAGGAGCATCGAGGTCTGGCACCCAAAGTGTTGATGGGCTCCTGCAGTGGGACCGACACCTGTCACCTCCTGGCCCCACTCGGGCCACCCCAGTGGGGCCAGTCCACACAAAGCCATATGCTGGGGGGGGGGCAGAGAGCAGCCCCTCTGCACTGGTGGGAGTGGGGGGGAGCTCCATCCCTCCAGACTGATGCATGTGATGAAATTGTTTGCCTTTGCTTGCAAGTCCAGAGGCTTCCTACCTGGAGGGGAGGGGGCCACCCTGGCTGTGGACCCCCCTCCTGCCCGTGGGAGCAACCTGCAAGCCTTTGAGGAGAGTTGGGACCAACCGGCGGGACGGGGGTTGGGCTGAGGGAGGGGGAGCCGAGAGCAATGGGGGGGTGGTAACCACTAAGCTGTTGCAAGGCTGAGAGGGGGGGTTGTCTCTGTATGATTTTAAAGGGGGGGGGAGAAGGAAGTTTTAAAAGGGCAGCCTTGAAATAGGGTGGGTGGGCTACTCCAGGGAGAGAAGCGCCTGGCAGCAGTCGGAGGCCTGTGGGGGCCTGCCAACCTCTTGTGTAGCTGTGTTGTTCCGTTGCCTGCAACTTTTGTGTGCTTGGATTGTTACATACATTAAATGTGGTCGGAATCGCTGCCTTCGCCTCTCTCTGCCCCACTTGCGACAATGGGGGGGGGGCAAATAGTGGCCGGGGGTGGCCAGCCAAAGAGCGGCAGCCCCTTCCTGGCACCAGTCAGGGTCCCCCAGTCACCCTGACGATGGAGCCCCCGAGCATTGGGCCCCTCTGGGAGCTGAGGTCGGAGGGGACCCCCACTCCCATCCGGAGCTTTGCCAACCCCCCCCCCCCCGCAAAAAAGAAGGCTGAGATTTCCAGAGTATTAGAGAATTTATTTTACAAAAACCGATGGTTCTTTCCATCAGCAGCTTTAAGACAGAGCAAAATTAAATAATACAGATTTGATCTGCAAAGATTCTTATAAAATTAAAAACGAACATGTAATACAACCGATAGACATGAGGAGCTGCAGGAGACATCGTGCCCACAACCGGGGAATTCTTTCTAGAAAGTGTATTTTGGGGGGGGGGGGAATCCTTAGGATACAAATTCCAGTGAGGTCCCACTACAAAATTAAAAAAAACCTAGAAAGGTTGCTGGAGAGGGGAGCCCAGAAGAAGGGGGGGGGCTGGCACTGATCTCCCCCCTGCTCTGCCCGCCCAGAGGGGGAAGTGGGGGTTCCTGGAGAGCCCCTTGATGGGCTCGTCCGCAAATGGCTTCCCAGCACTGGGGGCCCAGAGGCGACAGGAGCCCCCCTGCCCACGTGCAGAATTAAGGCTCGAGTGGAAGGGGAGGGAGGGCGCCCCAGAGAGCCAGTTGGGGGGTCTCTGGCCGGGCGAAAGTCAGGAGCCTTTTCACCTCCCGTGCTTATTTCCCTGAAACCCTGGCAGGTGGAAAAGGGGGGCGGGAGGCTGACCCCCAGCAGTTCTGGGCCAACCCCCGGGACAGGATGTGCTTCGCATAGATCACACGCTGGCTTTGCAACGTGAAGGGTGTGGGGGGGTGTTTGTGCGGGGGGGGGGGGGAGGAATGGTCCAGGCTTCCCTTGGCAGAAGCCTCAGCCCAGGAGGGTCACCGAGCAGGACAGACACCCCCTTTGGGCGGAAGGGGCCCCTCGGTCTGAGCCTGGTGGAGACAGCAGGGTGCCCTCCGTGTGCCCTGCTGCCAGCCAGGCCGGCCCAGCAGAGGACTGGCCCAAGGCCGGAGGCCAGGCAGGGCCCCCGCGCTCCACAGCAGGCGCCCAGGAGGGCCCGGGGTTGGTGGCGACTGGGGTCTGGGGGGGGCGCATCCCCTGGGGGCGCCTATGGCTTTGTGCCAGCGCAGGGCCCCATCCCTGCTGCCGCTGGAAAGAAACCAAGTGTGCTGGATTCAGTTGCATGCACAGAAATGCAATTGGAAAAGATTACAAACAGTACCATTGATACAAATATAGTGTTTTATAAAGAATGTAGACATTTAAACTTTTTTTTAACTTCCTGAGGCGCTCTGCATTCCCTAGAAAATAATTTAATGGTGAGAAAGTGCTCGGAGAAGCTGGGCTGGCGTCAGGCGCCCAGCCTGTGGAAAACAGACCAGCCCGCTGGCGGCCCTTGGCTGGCGGGAGGGAGCATGGCTGGCCCGCTCCCACCAGGGCTCAAGGGCCCCCCTGTGCCCCTCCAGCCGAGGCCCCGGGGGGGGGGCATGGGGTCGGAGCCCAGCTGGGAGACGGGGCGCTGGCGGCTGCTCTCCAAGGGAGCCGCTCTGCAGGTGCCACGCCTGTCCTCCCCGCCCGCCCGGCCGCTTACAGCTCCTCTTTGTCGACGGCGCTGGAGAAGATCTGGGCGAACTTGCGCAGCTGCTCGTTGGCGCTCTGGGACTCCTCCTGCAGCCGCTGGTTGCTCTGCCTGAGCGTGGCCACTTCCGCCTGCAGCACCACCTTGTCCTGCTTCTCCTGTGGGGGCCAAGAAGGAGCGGGCAGTCCCAGGCCAGCAGAACCCGGCCCTCACAGCCCCCTCTCTGCCCCCGGGGGTCCTGCCCAGCCCCCCCCCCAGCTCCTTACCTTCTGCAGGTCACTGTGCAGCTGCTTCAGCATGGCTTCCAAATGGGAGACCTTCCCTGTCAGATCCGCCGGCGGCTGCTGCTTGCTGCAAGGGAAGAGGCGGAGAGGCTGTGGCACGAAGGCCGCCTGGGGCTCCTGCAGAGCATCTGCCAGGGGCTCCCCCTCCCCAGCTGTCCAGAACGAAGGCCGCACACCCACGCCCCGAGCCCTGGTGGGGCGGGGGGGGGGGATGAAGCCACATGGAGGTGGGGGGAGGATTACCTGCTAGGCGGAGCTCCAACCTCCCCAAGACTGACGGCCTCGGGAGCCCCAGCATCCCCCCAAAACCTGACCTTCCTTGAGGAAGTTTTCTCTCTTCTTTAAAAATACTTCTGCCCCCCCCCCCAGCCCCCTGCTCACCTTAAGACAGGAGCCGCGTGTGGCTGCCTCTCCAGGCTCAGGTGCCCAAGACCAGGGCTGCCAGCCGGTGCCGCCTCTGGGCTCAACACGGCCTCATGGAGGGAGAAGAGAGAGACCGCTCTCTGCACTGGGGGGGGGGGGGAGAATCGGTAGGTTGTCAGGTGGAAACCTCCAGGCCCCCGACCGGCCAAAACTGGCACTGCTGCCAGGGCAGAGAGCCATGCCAGTCTGGTGGCAGCTGGAGGAGCTCCTATGCCCTGTCGGGCAGCCCCCACCCAGGCCCTGGAAGCCCCTCTCAGGGACAAGGGAAAGGGGATGGAGCACCACTTGGAAGGCCGAAGGACACCCCTGGGCAGTGGGAAGGGGAGCCCTGTTTGAAAGTCCATGCTGAAGGCCTCTAAGCAGCAGCCCCCCCCCTCCGCCACCCCCGGTATCCCAGCAGGCCTTCCCACTGACGGCTTCCACTGTAGACTGCAGCCCTGAGCCCAGAGAATTCGGGCCAGCCGCCCTCGCCACTTCCCAGACCCTCCTGCCTTCCTGGGGGAAGCCGCCCAGGGCCGATGTCCCCAATTTTCACAGAGAGGAAGAGGAGGAGGAGGCGCCGCTGGCATGAAGCCCCTGGTGGGGAAGCCCTGCTGGAAACTCCACCGCCCACCCCGGCAGAGTGGAAACCTCCAGGCCCCCTCCCTCTTTTGCAAGTAGATAGTCCAAAGCTAAGCCCCACCTTCCGTCCCATCTGGCCTTTCTGCTGGCTGGCTGGGCAGCAAGAGGAGGAGGAGGAGGAGGAGGAGGAGGAGGAGGAGGAGGAGGA